CTCATAAGTGGGTTTATTTATTGATTATGGTTCATTACTAGGCTCCACATATTGCGTTCCAAGTGATTACTGTGTTATTCCAAACTGTTACGAATTATGTATCCGTCGAGTCCGTGCCGGCGTTTCTACATTTGGGTGTTGACATATATTCATCGTCACCTCTCAATTGAAATTCCTGATTCTTCTTGCACATATCATCTATCTCATCTCCGAAGTTATCAATTGGACGATAAATGTAAGTCTGAAATATTACAAGACTCCGGGTAGTTATTGTCTTAAATATCATTCATTACTCATAAGTCATTTACTGTAGATTTCATTTTAAAACCATTTTATCCAATAATACCATGAATGCTAAATGGTCCCCAACTCCCACAATTCAACTTTGATGATTGGGGTGCTAAATCATCGACTCATGAGCTTTACACCCAGTCGTCTTTAGAAAATTATCTCCGCAATATATCTAGGTAGCTACCGTGTGCCCCTTGAACTCCTCACGCGCCCCTATTCGTATCCGAACACCATCATGATATCATCGCTAAATTTAGGTAACAGAAGCATTCAGTCTACCCACAACTTCTCTTTCCCACCAACTTTCAAAATTCAATACTAGTTTGTCTTTTCGGGCTTCTTCTGCTGCGAATACCACCGCGTGACTTCGGATTACTTCTTCTACTATAATTGGGGGGTTTGTGTCAGTTTTATACGGCCGAAAAAATTAAAAAGCTATAAAGAAAGAAGATCAAACTTACAGCTACACCCTACCCATTTTCTCTGCGCAACTTCTACTTCCGCCCCCTCATTCATGACACTATTTATGGCACCCACAAACTGTCTTACTAGCCCTTCGTCCCCACCTCCGTGTCCACTCTTAATATCCGTAATTTTCGGCTCATAAACCTTTGTTTCCCCAGTAATAAAGTCCTTGACTGTGATCGTCGTACTATCTGCATGTATTTCTCCATCACTACCATATATATGTGAATATCTATCACAAATCTTTTTCGTATGAGATACCATGTGGAACGAAGCTTGTTTAGCTCCACGGTTAAGAGAGGGATTGGCGGGAAAAGTGAGAGTTACGAATTGGTCGTCGTTGACCGTGTTGTCGGATTCGTAGACGCAGCGACCGAACCAGTTTTTGCCTTCGATATCGGGGACGGGTGTTGAGGATGTGTAGTCTTCGGATAAGACGGAGAGAACGGCGGATTCGGCGGCTTCAGGACCAGAGGTACTGAGGATATCTTCGATGTCTGGGATGAGAATGTCGACAGGCCAGTCGGTGTTGGGGGCGTGGAGTCCTTTGTGTTTGGGAGATATGTATATGTCTTTGGCGGAGTACTTACATTCTGGTTCGATGGGACAAGAGAGACAATTTGTGGCAGTGCCTGCGGCTGCGGGTTTGCGGGTACGGGTGAATTGTTGGACAGCGCCAGAGGAGGTTATTGTTTCAGGGAGATGGGGTGGAGCGGTTGGGTCGGAGGGGGGAGGAGAACAGAGGAGCCAGAGAAGGAGATCAATATCGTGACAAGATTTTGTGAGGAGGGAGGGGGCAGTCGTGGATTCTTTGCGCCAGTTTCCACTATTTGGCAGTTAGCTATCATGCCTCAGAATTCGAGAGGAAATATCCATACCGAACATAACTATGAGTAAAATGCCACCAACCGACTGGCTCGGTATGGTTAATACTCAGCACGTCCCCAATAACCCTCTCCTCCAAAAGTAATTTCCTCAACATCATATTATGCGGACTATACCTCAATACATGTCCAATACTGAATACCTTGTCTGGTAATCTATTCCGTGGATAATCTGGCAACATCGCCCTATAAATCTCTACACAATCCTCCAATGTTGTCGCCAATGGCTTCTCACACATAATATGCAAGCCCAATGGTTTCAATCCCACGATAACCTCTTTGTGCATTTCATCCAGCACACATATAAAGGCGGCATCGACCCCCGGCGGTACGGACTCCCCGCGAGCAGCGCGGGCTCGTCGATCAAGCTCATAGGAGAGGAACTCTTTCCAATTAGAAAATGATTGGCCTTCAGACGGGGAACCAGAACCCCAGATGTAGTGCGAACCGAGGCGTTGTCGTTTATAGGGGATGGGTTCTGCGACTGCGGAGACGATGCCTGGGGTGGATTCGTGCACACAGCGGGAATATTGACTGCCTCGAGATCCAGCGCCGACAATGAGGACGCGGGGTGGGTTTGAGGAGGTGGTTGTGGAGGGGTTGGCGGGAGCGGATGCGTGTGGTGGCATTTCTTCGAAGTTGTAGTTCGAGGTTGGAATTGCTGTAGATTAGCTTGGGGTTTGAGGTTATTATCAAGAGATATTGGGTTGAAGCTCAAAGCTTCAATTGAATTAGATATGCTCGCGGGTGTCTGTGTGTACTTGGTTGATCGCACTTGTCAACAACAAAGGCATGGATGGACGATAGATAGACATCACATAATGTAAATGAATTAAACTTTACTTATCCTTGATTCAGGGCGTACCCAAGTAGCAGAACAACACACTTACCAATTGTGTAGATGCTAAGCTATTGAGCTACCTAATCGTGCAGGAGGGGCTCTTCAGGTCCCTTGCCTGACCCCGCGATAAGGGGTGGGGAGAGTAACGTTACTAGGTTCGAACCAATCACATCCGAGTAATTTGTATTGCAAAAGGTATCCGCCATTTCTTCATACCTTCGTCCTTATATTATTGTTATACAAAGCCATCCTACCTCTTGAATACGCCTCGGTGTATCAAACTTCCGGACCGAGGAAATGGGGAACAGCTGATGAGTACCTTTGAGGGGGGAATGACTACGTTACATCAGGGCGTCCTTTGTTGCATATCTGCTTAAAGTCTGATGCAATACAAGACATTTGGAATACGGATCTGCCTTGTGGATTGGACGAGAGTTCACAAATATCACATTTCGGGCATAAAACTTGAGGTTACAGATGAGATAACATTCACAATTGAGTTTATAGCTAATAAACCATAAATTTTGCACGTTACTTCCAGCTCGCTTTTGTCTTCGAGTGGAGTCTGGAGTATGTAAAGCGACGGCGCTCCACACCAGAAGACAACGGAAAATCTTGCCCCTCAGAAAGTGCAGGGCAGTGGACGTTGCATCTATCCTTTTTCACATAGTATGGTCCAATGCCTGTCATCCCTTCAAAGAGCGCTTCGGTTGTGCTCTAATATCCAGCGGCATGAGTTTCCCCATCCTGGGCGATTACCGCTCCAAGATGTTCTCGATATCCACCAGAAAGGCCAGAATAGATCTCCCACACCTGTCATTGAGAATGGGATTAACAAGTTTTGATGCGTGGGGTGCCAGATACACATCGAGATTTCCAATTGCAATATTCTGTAGTATCGGAGAACATCCATCAAGAACGAAATCCACAAGCCCAGCTTTGTGTCGAAATCTATTGACAGATGCAATATCATGCATACCAGTGGCGTTGCCTGGCCTTCAACTGAAACTCGAAGATTATTCTTGAATTCTGATTATGATATCCTCGCATAGCGAACCTCATACGTTTCGTACCATCCACTGATCCTGCGCTCGACAAGTTCCCTCATCGCTTCGAATGTCTGACATTTATCTTTTAGATCTACACGAAAATCAATCTCCTCAAACTTGACTCCGGGTTGTCGGTCAAGTTTACAATGTGCTCCATACTTATTCACTTTGTGAGCGGTCAGTGCAACGGGAGAATTCCAGTTGTGAGATACCGCACTTCTACTGATAGTTGCGTATACAACATTCCTATCGCCAAGCTTCCGGTTTGATTGTCTCAATGTTCCAAGGTATACACTAGGTTTGAATAATGGATCTGGTAATCCATGATCTTCATCGGGGTATGGAAATGGTGGATTTAACACACCCAGTGGTGTAGCAGGCCGCTGCTCGGTAAACACATCGTGTGCGGAATTATTATATGGTTCTTCTGGGAAACCTATTATGGCTTCTTGCCCCGAATCAAGTTGCTTGGGTGACAGGCATTTTGAAACTCGTGCAGATAAAGGTTGAGTAGAAGGAGCGAACAATTTTGCTGAATCGATAGATGTCTCATACGGAAAGTAAGTTGGTGGAATTTCTAGCTTAGGAGGAGCTAGAGGCTTTGCTGCCTTGTGCTGGGGCCCTGAAAGTCCAGAATCATTACCGGTTAGAGGTAGGAAATGAGTTTCTTGTGGAAATATACGGTCTTCATCTGATATTTCCACCACGCGGGACAACCTTTCCAGTATCTCCTCTTCTGATTTGGTCCGCTCTAGTCCTTCACGTTCCAGAGATGCCATTTTTGGAGTAATCGAGAGAGACAAGAATGCATTGTTGCATCTGATGGTTGGAGAAAATGTTTCGAAGCGGTCCTTACATTACTGTCGATATTGAGAGCAAGATTAGGAGCTTTCTTGATTGTCTTTGTAAGCTCTAGAAGGTTAAATAAAGAGTATTGAAATACATTAACGCGATCATTGAACATCACTAACATGTGAAGATCGAACAAAGAATTGTGATATCATTACTAGAAAAGTTGTATAGATTGATCGAGACTTCTCGAAAAACTTACCATTCTCTTGTGGACCTTCTAGAGGTTGTGATAATTGGACATTGTCATGAATGCTACCGCACAGAGTATACTTATGATGTTTGTCATAACTCTGCTTTAGATGCCATTGCGATGATATCAAAGCTTGTAGAATATAGGATAAATCGTCAGATAACTTGTATCAACGATTGTTGTATTAGTATGTATCAAGTATATCGTGAGTGAGAGAATTTATATTGATGTTTGTAAAAGGCACCTACTCCGTTTGGTGCAAGTGGAGAAATCCTGCTCATTCGCCGAAACTCGGGTTCTGGCCTCGATGTCAAGGCATTATATCATATCACATGATCAGTACCTCGCTTCTCAGGATCTTTCAATTCTGCCTCCGAACCTCCCAACTACCTTGAGATTCCCAATTGACGCCCATCATACCTGTCAAGATGTTCACACAAACTGTCCGCGCTTCGGTATGCTACATGCTCAGCTCAAAATGTCATTTTACTAACCGTAGAAGCGCTCTCAAATCGCCCGCGTTGCGAGGCAGCAAATGATCAGCAAGAGAACTTTCATCGTTCCTACTGCTGTTCGTCGTGGTACGTTCATAATTCTATTCACAACTATTATTCTGCCTCCAGAACCACTGCCACCGGAACACATGATATACGCGGATACATCCACCAGTCAGAAGCTAATTCCGATCAACAGCGGACCTTGTCCAAGATCTTTACCTCAAGGAATTGAAGAGTTACAAAGCTCCTCAAATCAAGGCATCCGATTCCGAAGGACACGTTCTCAAGTTCTCCCCACCTAAGGCCCCTACATCTCCAGAAGAAACCGATATCGCAAAGGAATTGGCAGCATATGAGGCAAGCACAGTCGAAGTAGAGGGACAAGCTGAGGGAGGTGTTGAGGCCAAGGAGGTTGATTGGTTTGAGGAGGAGCCTGAGGAGGAGGCCGCACACCACTAGATTACGAGATGATACCGGAGTGAAAATGTGAAGCCGCGTGGTTGATCAAAACGTGGGGATGCGACGGAGGGGCGGGGAAATGTGTCACATAGCGAGGTGGTAGAATGAAGTGCGAATTGTACAGTCATTAACCGCCTATTTTGAAAGAAGACTCGATCGACTGGATTATCTTCCGCAGCACATGTCACTATTTTTTCTAGGTTTCTGGAAGCAGATTGTTCATACCGTCCATCTCGATATGATTAAATTGCTACCATCTGCTTCATTTGGACACTCGTTTTAAACCCTGTCCACGAAATCTTCAGTGTTTCACGCCAAGTGGCTAGGATTCCTGAATCACAGAGAGTGCTATCATGACGAAATTGTACAAAACAATACTTGGTATAATAAATCTAGTTTTGGACTCGTTTTTCCGCACCATCCACAATAGACATGCGGCTACTTCCTCATTCGAGAAGATCCCCTGCTACTAGCTGCACGGGCCTTTGCGGGGGGTACTAAACATCTTCCTCTTGTTCTCCCGCCCAACACTACTGCCTCCAACATCACCACTTCATTGTTTTTGAACAGCGGGAAACTGTCATCTTTTGCGTTCACAGTCTTGATCCTACATGGAGGATCGCCCATCATGCAATGCTTCCAGCTCTTTAATATGACGAGTGAACTGGCTACCATCCAAATATCAGTCAAGCTTTCAACTGCCTCATTCACAAAGAGTCATTCAATCAATCTTCAACATCCACAGAAACGGTTTCCTTAATACCTCTTCCTTCCAGCTCATATACCTTTTCCTTCATACTTGTGCCGTCCAACTCAAACTTTCCGGGTCCCTCCATCTCATGAAAGTTGGCAGTCGTTTCTAGCTCCAATGCATTTTTATAACTTCGCATCTTCCATGGTAACGTGACAGGCTGTTTTTGTTGATCTCGATGACGAATTACAACACATACTGTCACCAAAAGAAGTAAGCCTAAGACACCGGTGATAATACCCACAATCAAAGGCATGCGACTATTTTTTATGTTGGAACTCGATGGTATATTGGTAGATACTGAGGGGGTGTCGGTAGATGTTGGAAATAACGTCGGGTGTGTGTACGGGGTGTTATTGACCGTATCTGTGTCCACGCCCGAAAATGACCCTAAACTCGAAAGATGTTCGTTTCCTGATATGATGGTCGAAATAATTTGCTCTGCTGTTGTTGAACTACTAACACTGTCACCTACGACGGTACTGCTGATGTGGGTGCTCACGGTGATGTTATTGGTGCCACTGGGGTACCTCGTCGTTTTATCGATGCTGCTGCTATCATCTCTTTTATTAATTTTAACGTCGTTGACCCAAAAAGCACCTGAAAGTGTCTTATCGCCCCCACAATCGCTCAAAACTGCCCATGGTGGAAAATGCACATTATTTATATCGAGCCCTGGTGGTATAGTCCACTTGTATTCTCCAGATGATAGTGGAACATTTGCTATTGTTTCAGAATCAGTCTTGACTCCAGACATATGAAGATGACGAACGAACAAGCTATCTCAAGAATTGAACCTCCAATGCCAGAATCAATGATCATTCGCACTAAAGTCAAATTGGTAGTTCCACTTTGACGTGAGTGCCATTTGATGGCATAGTTACTTCCCGAAATTAGGATTTGCCTATCATTTGGTGTGAGGATTTTGAGCTCAATCGCGTAGTCTGAGCATACCAATAAACACAGAATCAAAACGAAAACACAAGTTACGTGAAGATATAGAATCATCTTAAGTACTTGTTTGATTTATCGTTTGGAAAGAAACAAATATCACATACAACGGTGCTATGGTAAAGAGTTAAATGCGGTTGAGGATCATTCTACTATTTGTGCAACCTCTAACCCTAGCTGCTAATAGGATATTAGGAAACTTGTGGCTCAATTGAATGCGAAATGAGCATCTTGGCCCCACCTCAACAAAAAGTATCTACATAGCTCAGTGGATGAAGTGGCGCCCAGGATCTTCTTCAAAAAGTGATGAATGAAACGGCCCCCAAATTGACCCTCGGTTGTGTGACCAAGCCCACAGCATAAATCGCCAGCATCCCCCAATCATGCATCAACTATCGCTGATTTTTGGCATGAAGGAATCTCAAAATGCGGCGGTGGTCAGTCTATCTCGTCTTTTCATCTCATTTCTTGCTTCTGCAGTCAGCGTTCGTATCGATATCTCGTTCCTGTATAGCAATTTATATCTTTCTGCGAATGTCATTTCCACGAGGCAGGTGGTGGAGGAATAAGAAAAGTTTGCCAAGTTTACCCCTTAATAAATTTACCGCATGGATCTAGACTCAAGCCTTAATCGCAAATACGTGCCTGTTTAGTGCTGATGAGGATTGTCGCCTCGTATAAAACGAGTCAATGGCTACCTAGTGCCTTATTAGAAGGCTGATACGGTATTGTCGTCTTCATTTACACGTATCTTCATCTTGCTGCCTCTCTCTTGAAGGTACGAGGTCAACACCAGCCTTGATATCGTGCTTGAGAGTAGTGACATACTAGCAATAAAATCGGATTTGAATTACCCCTTGAACAGCTATGTTGCACATCTACTACCTTGAAATTACAAGACACATTTAGACAAATCTTTAAGAGCCTTGGAACTAGTGAATATCCTACGAAACTATTCCGTGCCACTCCTCCCTCCTTGCTATCCTCGCTCTCTTCACACCTCTTGTTGCATATCTACAACTTTCTCAATACAACATATATCTCAACATACCCTAATACAATACTCACTTAACCCCCACAATACACCAAATCAAACCAAATTCAACCCCGGCAAATCCATATCCTCTTCATCGGTAGCTAATAAAATCACATCCCCCGAAATTCTTTGTTGCACATCTATATTCTTTAATTTTATAAATCTCAAATCTTAATGCTCAATGCGCGTTGCAAACTCAAACTCAAACTCAATTTTAGCATTAGTATTACATGAGCAGAGCAGAGCAGGGACGCGAAATGATAAGATAGAATTTTGATTTTGATTTTGATTGCGCATGGGGATGGGGATGGGGATGAGGATGGGAAGAAGGTTAAACTTTAGGGTTTTGGTACGAGGATAGGAATGGGAAGTTGAATTTGGGGTTTTGGGATACCGGATACGGGATATAGATGGTATTGTTTATTTACCTACTTGGCTATGTAAACTTGGATTCTTGTGTGTAGAGTAGTGAGTAGTATCTAAATGTGTGGTTGGGGTGGGGAATGGTGGTTTGTGTATTTGTATATCTGGATTCGTGAATTTGTGAATTTTGTGCTGTCTTGTGCGTGAGGGATGTGAGGGATAGTGATGGAGAGGGGGATGTGTGTATTAGATGGATGGGGTAGTATGGTACGCGATGGTATGGTGTTGAATAAAGTGATAAAGATTAAATTATAGATATCGATCTATCTATCTATCCGGTGATGCTTAAGTTAATTTACGGTTTGCCCTCGAAAGTGTAAAGCTACCTAGGTAGGTTATTGATAGCTCTACTTCACAAATTCACAGATTCGAACACATTTGATTCTGGGAGTATGGAGAGGTTATGTTTATGTATTTATATGCTTATATGTAGAATATAGAATGTAGCGCTAAGATGTACTACTGTTTATATCTATGTGAGGTGAGTTTTGATATTATGCTTTACTTCAAGGTTGGGTTTGACAAGCTTGGATAGCTAGTTGTCTGGACTCTGTAGCGCTTCGGTATGTATATGTGTATGTAGTGTAATATGTAATATGTGGTTTCTAGATAACTCACTCCTTCCCTTCCCTTCCCCTCCCCCTCTCAACCCATATTATCTTATTCGCTGACCATCTCTCCTCTCCTTTTCAATCCCCCCTCTCTTTTTCATCTTTCTAAGCACATCCACATCCACATACACACACATCCATATCTACATCCCTAAAAACATGAATAGGAATCGAAACCTCATTCATCAAACAATCAAACAACCAATGCACGTATACAAACCACATACAGCAAGATAGACAGAGAGGTAGATGCACATATAGATATACACATTAAAAGCAAGTATTGAAAAACATAGTTCTCATTACCAAGTTAGATAGTTAGATAGGTAATTAAACATCCCTTTCCTTCCATGCATCCCCTTTTCCTCCCAGCACATTCATCCACGCATACATGCAACCATCCATCCATCTATCCTCCCTCCAAACGCCATCAAGATCCATTACTCGTACTTCGTAGACTAGAAACTAAGAATAAAAAAATCAGCCGACCCAACTCCATGATTTCATTTCACAAACTCCATTAATAACATTTCTCCACTTTCCATTCTTGCTAAGTTTTGCTTGCTTGCTTCCTTGCTTGCTCGTTCGCATGCTTAACTCACAAAATTAATCCTTTGTCAACTTTAACACTTCTTCTTCCTCCATCTACAACTTCCGATCCCCATTTTCCCTTCCATTCCCTTTCCCTCTCTCTAGCTTCCTCAAAAGCCCTCCTACAGTCTTTGGGTAAAACGTCAAGTACATCTTCACTAACTCCACTCAAGCCATCCATACCCATTAAATTATCTCCTGCACTTCCAGTTGATTTCCCTCCCGCGCTCAAATCCCAAACCGTACCATCTGGACCTGGAACGCCGTAATGTGTTGATGGTGAAGATTCCATGTATGTATCTACTATCATGAGATTTCTAGAAAAGTATGGTTTGACTGGTGGGAAGAGTGTTGATGATTCTGCAGATGGGGATTGTGGTTCGTTGTCGTTTATTTGTTCCCAGCGGGCATGAGTAGGTTGCATGGTTCGTGGGTATTGCATGATATTTGTGTGGGGATCGTAGATACCGTTCAGGTTTTGACGACGAGCTGCTGAGATTGCGGAGTTGAATCGACTTTTGGCACATATTAGCGAGGGGTTTAAATTGCTTCATGAGAAAGGGAAGCAAAGAACAAACATACCTAGCTTCTCGAGCATGTTCCAACATCCAATTAACATCATTAACCATAATCTTTCTCTTCTTGCCATCAATCATCTTTCCGGTTTGTTGTGGGACAGTGGGCTGACTAGAATGATATACTGAACTTGCTCCATGCCATGCGACGTATTGATTCTTGTTATATGCTTCTCCATCCTTAAATGCATCATTTGGATCAGCCAAAGAACCTTCTTCAACTCCCTCTTCCCTTGCTTTCGTAACCTCATAATCATCTGTGATTCTCTTGCCCCCAACAATAATTTGAGCGCCGAATTCGCGGAAGACTGATCTCGCCGTAACAATTCCAATAGCTCTTCCCTTATAAGAATGTGGAATAAGTTCTCGTTCGATCATGTCCCTCTTCTCCTCTTCATCAATAATAATCTTAAATAACCGCTTATGCTTCGCGAAGAAAAGATAACTATCTCTGAATCCTACACAACGTGCCGGTTCGGTGGATAACATATAAAGTCTCTTCCCTCTCCCATGAACCGTAAATGTCCTGCAACGATATTCCCGACCATCTTGTAGATAACCAAGCTTATCAACCTTTTTCTCTCCTTCCGCATCCTCGGGTAATTCCACTTCATCATTCACAACGTCCATCATGTTTCCCTCTTTATCGACTGGTTGTTGTGTAACATGACTAGGACCGCCCCGTCTGGCCCCTCGCCCACCACCTCTAAATCCTCTTCCTCTACCCCTCCCTCGACTTGGTGTAGGTGCCTCGGAAGTAGTTCCATCATCTAAATCCCATCCTGGAGGTTTGATCTTGGGAGGTCTACCTAGACGCTTCTTACGAATGGTGGTTTCTGGAGCGGGAGTGGCTGGAGCAACTTCCTCTTCGACTTCTGATTCGATTGCTTCTTCCTCCTCTTCATTTTCATCTTCGTCGTTTTCGGGAGGGGTACCGGGGTCAGATGGCGGTGCATCAACTATGGAATCATCTTCGGGATCATCGTACGTTTGTGGTGTATTTTCTATATGGAAGGGAGATGTAGTTAGAATTGTCTGAAGGTAATAATGTTATGCGCCAGTCAAAATATTGGAAGCAACTCACTTAATGCAGCAGCGGCATTTTTAGCAGCAGCTCTACCAGGTCGTCTACCCATTTTCAAGGGATCTTCGATAATCAATTAATCGAATTTGTGCTTCAATGAAGGTATTGGTGAACTTGACGTCGCGACTTGCGACGCGAATTGAAAGTCGGCCGCTTAAACAAATTAATCCCGAGAAGCACGTGGAAGCTAGCTAGCCTTAAAATGGTTAACCACCATGTGATCAAAACTTCCCCAAGATTCGTATTGATCTACTCCGTATTTTACCATTTTTCCGCTGCAGCTGCTTACCATTCGGGATTTCCTAGATGGCCTCGGTGAGATCTGAAATCACAAGATAGAGTGTTTCTATTACTAGGGTTCAGTCTTCACAACTATTGACAGACGATGAGAAGCATGAGATGCTGCCGACCCCTAGAATAGTTTCGGCTCAAGTCGGATCGAACTACGAATCACCTGGACTGTGTTTCTCATATTCGTATCTTGAGTTGGCTTCTGTACCCATTTGTTTGTACTTTCCTACACTTTAATGTTCCCCGTCAGGATCACAACAGTATCGTATAAAATGAATGTACGAGTACTGCACATGCAATGAGGCATCTAAAATTACCTGAATGAAGGACGAACATTCTGTAAAACTATGCAGGCTGTGGTAGCTGAATGCGCAATGCGAGTTTCCATCGGAGGCTTCATATGTTCGCATCGCAGCATCGCATGGCATTGATTTTATGGGTCACGACATGTGGACATACCAGGTAGTTCTTCAAATTTTATATGATTACCAGACTGGAGGGTTTTTAGAATGATCTTTACCGAATACCTGTCCAAAGAATTCCAAACAGAAAAGTTCTTGACGCAGAAAACATTCGATCCTTTCCCTTCCCCGCCGCCTGACGACAGAAATTGAAGGTTAGAGATGCTGATATGTATAATTGGTGATATTGGCATATTGCAGTGTTTTCGGGTAGTATTGCAGTATTTGGTGTAGACCAATGGAACTCCAATCCTGGATAAGTACATGATCTCAAGCTTGAAAGTCTTAGGTCAGCTTGTCCAGGGTGCAGCTTGTGAAGTGTTGGGGAAGTAGTGGAAAGACAAACCAACAATCTAGATAGGAACACCAATAATCTTCTTGTGTGGGCTGAATCTGGATGAAGTTGCTTTGATTTGTTGATAAATATCGGTAGAGCTACCGTGGCGGTAGGTGTTGGGGAAACCTCGATAAGTCCGATAGGAGTTTTGATTGCTTCGATTGTAATATGTATGCATTTGTAAGATCGGGTTACCTAGATAGATAGATAGATAGATAAGGGGCTTTGATTCGTGGCGAAATAGACGAAATCCTCCGTAAACGAAGAGGAAAGCTTCAGCTCCAAAACCTTAGCAGTTGAGGCAGATCTTTGTGTACGTGTAGAGTATAGCAGTACTGTTGTGAGTTGTAATCTGTAACTTTTTACAACTGCTTGAATTAGAAGCTGTTACTCAATCCGATGAAGCTCCGTAACCCGTGTAAGGATACTGAGATATGGAGTGTGTAAGGTTTAATATATATATGACGTATTTGTATCGAGTCAAGGAAAGGGAAAGTTTAGAATGTTGAATCTGGTTGAATTCCGGTCGAGAACATTTTATTATTCATTTATTTTGGAGGCGATGGCGTGGGACATTTCCTTCGTGTGGGACGAGGGAAGAGGGACGACCAGTCACACTACAGATTGGAGAAGAAGGAAAGCAAAAGCAATGTTATATGTTGAATGTCAGATTGAATATTACAGGTTCGGAATGAAAAGATGAGATGAAAGGAGGTATCCGGTTTCTTGAGTGTTTTCTATGTACATGATCTATCGCATTTCATCGTTAATCGGTATCTCCAATATACATGGTATACAGGATTAACATGAGTAAGTTGACTGGTTTGATAACGAATGCGTTTCTTATGAGAGCAAAGCAAAGCAAAGCAAAGCTGCATGATGAATTAAATAAGACGACTGGCTGCGCTGTCATCAATCCATCCATCCATCCATCAATTATCATCATCATCATCATCACCATATCATCATCATCATCGACTCCATAAAGACTCCACTACCTATCTATCTTCACCTCCTTATTATACACGTCGAACTAATTTAATTTCGATATAACTGACTGATACTTGAAGATATTTGATATTTGATATTTGAGACTCGCTACTCGATACTTACTTACTTTTTAGTCTAACTTATTTGTATCCAATCCAATCCAATCCATAATTACATCAATATGTAAAGAGGAGCGCATTAATTTCACTCTTCTGTAACATTCTCTTCTTCCTTTTTCTTGTTTTGCGACATCCATACATCTAACTATCTGACTCTCTATCGATATATCCATCCCACCTTTCACCCTATTCGAAGGGTTTTATCTCTCTCATCATACATATACATCTACATACACATACACATATCTATATACACATACATGCATATACCTTGACTACCCTCCTCCCTCAATCTATACCTACCTATTCCATCTGAGATCTCGCATTGCATTGTTGATATATCTATATATACCTAATATACATATGTATATATATATATATACACACATCTCTCAATTCAACAACCCGATCCCATTCCACCCATCCATTCAATCACTTCCACGAATATTCGACCAAGTAGTTCGTTCAGCTTTTACTGCAGTTCGACAGCTGAGACTCATAACCACTCTGCCCTCATCATTCCGCTGGCCTCATAATATCCAAGAGGCGTTGAAAACACACACAATTTGGTGAACTGACACGACTTAAGATCCAGGTGGTCATCGAAACTAAGAAAATCGAGCCCGAAAGATTAAAATACGCGAGGAACTCACAGTATCATTTTGAACTTTGCCTTCGTCTTCGCTTTCGCCTTCGTCTTTGCCCGGATAGCCTTAGGTACAATTAAGAATTTGGCTTAAGAAATCAAGAAGAACAGACCCTGATCCAAATTCTTTCCCGCCCTCTTTCCCAATTCTCCAAGTTTTTCCCAAAGAGAAAAGTTTAAATTTCAATTCAATCCAATCCAATCCAATCCAATTATCCCAGACGGGAAACCCATTAGGAAGAAAAAAGGATTGGCAATCATTTTCCGAGGTATCATTTTCATATAAACTCGAACTGCGGCTCATTCCTTGCTTGTTCCTTTCCCAAATCCCAATCCCAATCCCATACCGAGATTCGACACAATCAATACGTACGGAAACGAAAGAGTCATAAATACCTTTCTTATTCCTACCCGTCGGTCAAAACTGCTGCGGAACCCACTATCAACATAACTTATGACCTAGGTACTGAAAGTCTATCTCGAGTCTCCAGCTAAAAGATACCCCCAAACTTTCTACCTTTTCTACCTTTTCTACGAACCCTCGCCGAATTTCCTACCTCTCCATCCACGAAACGATCAGACCGCAACGAAAGAAATACTGCCAAATACTCCGACAGAATTATAATATTGGCATCAGATAGTCCTCGCAGATCATAAAAAGATACGAAAATGGCAGGGACAGAACACGACTTGCTTAGGCAAGCTACACAAGCAATGATGGCAAGGTATGAATACAAAATTTTCGATTTCGCAATTCTCCCTCTTTGTCGTCATAGATTATATTCACACATACATATATACACACACACACACACACATACACACAATAGAGGTATTTATATGGCTGAGCTTCTTCTTTGAAGATAAACCACAACATACTTTTTGACAGCACAAAGGACAGAGGGGAATGTGGACAACTCCTTCCGATTCTCATTCTCGTTCTTCTATCCGTTTCTTTCAACTCCACTCTTCATTTTCATCTCAACATCTTTTGCACATGCTGAATCACTAAACGTCAAAGTTGACGAGGGGTACGGTTCCGGTTGTAATCGGGATTCCTTATCGAAACGGCAATCGGCGTACAGGTACAACTTTTTTTTTTCTCATAAAAAAAAATTAATCAAGAGGGAGAGGGAGTGGGAGAGGGAGAAATCAACAATGTCACAAGAGAGAGAAATTCTATATGGGTTGAAGGCTTTTTGATTTGATTGCTTGCTTGTGAGAGAAGAAGCAATTGATCATTCCTGACAACTTTATCTCTACATCTCTCTTCAATTCTACCATACTTTACTTTAATCTGCAGTACTTTCCTCTACTCTACAACATCCTTCGCGATCATCAACCCACAATGCCTTCACTTCACGGTCTTTGGTCGCATATTAATGTTACTTTGGCTAATTTGACAAACAACAGAGATGATGATGGTGACCATATCGATTCCGATACACCCCGCTCTGGTGTCGCGACCCCACAACCAGATCCTTCAGACAAGCGAACTCCTGGTATATTGCATAGCTTTTATGGACAGGTTGGTTTAGGCTCTTCCTCACGTCAAAATCCTACGAAACATATATCACACATAGCACAAGATCCTAACACAAGTGACCTTGAGAGTTACTATACTTCCCCACGACAGAGATTTGAAGCAGGGGATACATTGTTGAAAGTCACTCCAAGTTCACTCAATGAATTTAGGATTGATTATGGTGTAGAGAAAGAAAACTCACTACTTCCACCGCATGAACTTTTGGGTAGTTCTCAAATATCTAAGCAACAATATCCTTACCCGACACCACCTGTTTCACATCCGTCCTCACTACATAAAGTGAAATTGAGTGATGCGAGTTTTGAAGATATTGGCAATAATGTACAGAAAACGGCAGCTCCTACAGATCGAGATTGTATTTCGGAATCAATTCCGTCACATGCAAGAAGAGCTTCGTCTATGACACCATTGTCAAACATTGTCACTCCATCAAATGTTCATGCTGCACATTTTTCAAACCCAAGCGATACCCCTTCCGAGCACAAACTTAGCACTCCTCCATTATCCCGATTGAATTCTGAATTCCACAAGTCACCATCCTATGATCGACTCAAGAAGCTAACGTGTGATGGATTAAAGAGCATACCATCAACTCCCACTCGAGCTTTATCGAATCAAACCTCGAAGTCAGATCACAGTGTTATGAGCACAAATTCTGAACATGTCCCGCAAAATGGCAGATCAGGCACGAGTGAGCGACCGGCTACTACTTCTCGTACTGATAGTAGTTTGGGAGGAGCAGTGGTACCACCAAAGGGTAAACTTACTGTGAAGATTAATGAAGCCAGAGGACTGAGAAAGAGCGTGGATCCTTACGTTGTAGCCGTTTTCCAACGAAACGAGCTGGTATCAAAGGGGCCACAATCAGAAGAGGACGATGAGGATGATGGCAACTCACATAGCCCTGGCGGTATTCCAATTGGTGGCATTCCGATTACGCGAACTGGAAGTGACTCTGGTCGTTCCATGGCAATTCCGATGAAAAGTAGGCAAAGCAGCAACACTAGTTTGTCGGAATACAGAGACTTTAAGAACAAGGGCCGAAAAATGTTTACCCATCCAAAATGGGATGCCGAAGCTGTCTTGTAAGTGTGCCAGAACAGATTAGTGGCTCATCTCGCTAACGATACTTTAGTGATGTTGTTGGCTCAGATACAAGAGTCAATATAACCATTTACGACCGAGCTCAACAAGCAGAAGAATTTTTGGGTCATGTTGACCTTCAAGCCAATCTTGTTGAAAATGTCGATGCTCCAGTTTCCGGCTGGTTCCAACTTCGTGGCAAAGATATAACATCGAATGCAGGGAATGTCGGCGAGGTTCACGTCGAAATTTCCTTCCAGCGAACAGAGAAGAGACATTATGGACCAGATGATTTCCAGATTTTGAAGCTTATCGGAAAGGGTACATTTGGTCAAGTCTACCAAGTAAGGAAGAAGGATACAAAGCGAATCTACGCTATGAAAGTTCTTCAAAAGAAGGTCATTGTTCAAAAGAAAGAGGTCGCTCACACTGTTGGTGAGAGAAACATTCTAGTTCGAACAGCTACAGCCGATTCTCCATTTATTGTTGGTCTCAAGTTCTCCTTTCAGACACCAACAGATCTATATCTTGTCACAGATTATATGTCTGGAGGCGAGTTGTTCTGGCATTTACAAAAGGAGGGAAGATTCGATGAGCAACGTGCCAAATTCTACATTGCGGAACTGATCTTGGCACTTGAGCACCTTCACAAACATGACATCGTCTATCGGGATCTGAAACCAGAGAACATTTTGTTGGACGCAAATGGACACATTGCTTTGTGTGACTTTGGTCTATCGAAAGCAAATCTCACAAAGAATGCCACGACTAACACGTTCTGTGGTACTACCGAGTACCTTGCACCCGAAGTTCTTTTAGATGAAGCTGGATACACGAAGATGGTTGATTTCTGGTCTCTAGGAGTCTTGGTGTTCGAGATGTGTTGCGGATGGAGTCCATTCTATGCCGAAGATACACAACAAATGTACAAAAATATCGCTTTCGGTAAAGTTCGATTTCCAAGAGATACTTTGACTACCGAGGGCCGAAACTTCGTCAAAGGATTACTCAACAGAAATCCTAAACATCGTCTTGGAGCTACAGATGATGCTGAAGAATTGAAGAGACATCCTTTCTTCCAGGACATTGATTGGGATGCTCTTACCAAGAAGCTTATCACTCCGCCTTTTAAACCAAAGTTGAAGTCAGAGACCGATACATCCAATTTCGATCCAGAATTCACCAATGCCTTAAATGGTGCATCATCACTCAACGCACGTGCAGCTGCCCTTGCCGCAGGCATGGCAACATCAACACCACTATCCCCAGGCATGCAAGCAAACTTTAAGGGCTTTACCTTTGTTGATGAAAGCTCGATTGAGGAAAACATGAGAGACAGAGTCAAAGATGAATACGAGGATCGAATGGATCAAGACAATAATGATCCAGAACGTGATTGGGAGGACCCATTTGATATCCCTGATAAATCACGCATGGATCGGATGAGTGGTGTAGTGAGGAATCACAATGAAGATGAACGAATGTTCAATGGTGATGACTTCCATTGATCATTTGTTTGTTCCTCAATATGACCTCATCTCATGTATTTAAGGATCTGGTACAGACAAGTTTTCTTTTTGTGTCAGCATACATTTACAATCTTCCTTTTTATTTTCCAATCCGGGTTTGATGAATGGAATAGGGTTCATGGTGTGGTGCATGCATGCTTTCCATTGTATCTTACTTTGTCTTTCATGGTCTTCTTTACTTGTTCGCCGATTATTTGGTGGGTTCATTACTGGAGATGATTGATCGATACATAATCTGGGGAATCTCACCTTACATCCGTTTACATACTTATGATGATATATTTTGAGTGGTAAGAGCATGGGCTTGGCGTAATTGATGGATGATTGATTGCGCGTGCTTGTCTCCGCGCTTGATTTTTTGCATTGGGATGGAGTTGAAATATTTGCACTGCATGAGGCGCATGATTTGTATTAATTTGCCTGTTTCTATATCTATAGGAGTATGGATGAGAAGATTAGGCGGGGGTGAACGGTGGTGGTTGGATGAGTGTGGTGGAGAAGAAAAGAAACGCAACCCTCAAGAAGCATTGGGTGTAGTACTAGCATTGACGATTGCATTCTTATTACAGAACATGCTGTTCAGGATGTGCTGTGGGGGAATGGAATGAGGTTTGTAGTGGAAGTGGAATTGGGACAGGAAAGAGTAAAGGAATATAATATTGATAGAAGCTTTTAGGCATGAGTGATTATAGAATGCGGATTATGATAATTGGGAGAAGGGGGAGAGGGGTGAAGCATTGGAAGGGAGGGAAGAGGAGATGAAATGAGAATAAAACAAGTCCTGAGGAGTTATTTATCTATCGGATTGTATCGTATTATTCGTCTTTATGAATGTACGTTCATTGATTTGATCTTGAGGGGTAAGGTGTGAGATTTCATGTGATGTGTGATGAGTGGTGAGGGATAATGTGAGATCTTGGGTATACGATCAATTGATACAAGGAGATCAGAGGATTATCTGTAAGTATGCCAATTTGCAAGCGACCTCATAAAGACTGCAACTCACTGTCTCGTCACTTTTCTGTTCTCTGAGATTTATCATTCATGGACAGGAGGCAAAATGTAGATGCTCACTGTGTCTTGAGTATCCGTACGACTTTTGAATGGGGCGTTGCGGGTTTGTCACAACATATTCGGAAGTCTAGATGTGACTCTCAATACTATTTACATGGTTTTTCATTACATAGGACCAAATATGATGTTACAATCCACAACAACGCAACCATCTAGTGCTCATTGCCTCCGGCACAATCTTCCGGTCGCATCCTCAACCCACTTATCACTCCCCACGCATGTTGGATAATAGAATACATCGTCACCATCATAAGTCTTCTTCACTTCTTCCAACTTCGGTAGACTCTTACCATAAAAATCCTTCAAATAATCGGGATCAAACCTATCCGCTTCATTCATATAACATCCAGTATTCGGCGCCAACTTCTTCATCGCTCCGATTTTCGTGTATGTTATATCGTCCCTAACTTCTTGTACAATAGCCTCGTTGGTATCTGCAGTCCATCCGCGTGCTACGATATTGTTTACGTATGAAGATCTCCATGCGGGGTTCAATCCGGAGTTTTCATCGTGCACAAAAACTCGACCGCCTCCAACTAGAGAAACAGAAGTAAATGCAAATTGTCCTGGTGATCCAGCAGTTACATTCAGCATCTCATTAAAATCCGCCAGAGAAGACGTCAGTGCTGTACGGTCCAAAAGACGCCCACCGAAAGCCCCAGTTCCAACACCTGCTGCACTCTTACCACCTGAAAGTGTCTGGTAGTATTCTGCATATGTAGGGAATTCCAGATAACTCGAATTGATAACGAGACTTGTATTATACAGCTCAAGTTTGGACATCAAAGTTTCAAGTATTTCCTGGGTTTCGGGCAGAGTCTTCCCTGACACGGCTATGGCATGTTGATAGCCGGTTGTGAAGTTTCCAAAAACAGGCGCATAGCTCTCCACCGCCCAACTTCCATACCCAGAAAGACCAGCATCATTGAGATCTGGATATGCAGAATATATCAATGCCAAGGCTTTCATGAATGCTGGGATGTCCGCATCGGTTAGTGGTGCAACGGCTAGTGTTTGGGCGGAAATCGATGTCGTTGGATACGCCTTGATAATTGTTGATACGACCACTCCATATGTGCCACCTCCTCCACCTCTGATGGCAAAGAAAATATCTTGATTGTGACACTTATTCGCAGTAACAATCTCTCCATTTGCAAGGACAACTTCAGCTTCGAGTATTTGATCGGCACCAAGGCCATAACCACGAGATGCAGGTGAATGACCTCCTCCTTGAAACCAGCCTCCGATTCATCCTACAGTCTATAGGGATATCAGTTCTATATCGATTGATTTTCGGTCATTCAACATACAGGATCACCGCCTCCTACAACAATCACATTTCGTTTCGTAGCCTCTGCATAGACATCTTCCCAGACATAACCTCCAGCAATCTTAAATGCACTTCCTTCCCACTTCGAAGATTTACAATCATCGGAAGGTAAATATGTATCTTGAAAGATGATACCTTGTCTAAGATATCTGATCCAAACCTCCAGACTACCATAACCAGTGGATCTACACAGAAAGAATCAATTACCTACATTTTACTATTCGATAGGAATACAATTGATCACCTACCTACCCAATAGGTCATGTCCAGTATTTCTAACCACCAACCTAATATTATTCTTCCTAGCGAAAGCTACCCCCTTAGCAACATCTTCAGAGGTCGTCGCATCACAACATATCGAGGCGCATCACCAATCGAGCAATTTCCTAGAATCGCTCCTATCGCGAAATCGATTGGTGGACAAGAGTTGTTGATAGGAGTATCTAGAGCAATGGGATCATTTGCAACGAGCTGCTCGTCGGACAATTCTTTCACAACTGTAGAACAAGCGTCTAGGTTTTGTTGTGGGCCCGGATAACATACAATCGCTGCTGGTATCGCTTTGATTAGTTTCCCAGATATCGACGCATTTAATGATTTCCATGAGTGTTGGGAGGGCCAGCAGTTGTCAGTTGGTCCCTGTAATTAATCAGAATGATATCGTCTATAGACTGAGGTAGATGTACACATTTACAATCTCTTGAGTATTCCGTCTTTTTACTACTACCAGAACCCGTCGTAAAAGCCAGAGACACGAGAGCGAAAAGGGATAAAATGAATCGAAGCATTCTTATGTTCAAGGGGAATATTACTTTGTGTAAACTTCAAACCAGAATCCGATATTGGGTTTCTTAAAAGTATGATTCAGCACCTCGATCCACCTGCAAATACCGCAATGAGACAGTTCACGCACATCTATGCCCCAAGCATCAGAAGAGAAAAGAGACAAGCATGTATTACAGCCACCCAAGCTTTAACTTCAGCTTGTCGGATAATTAACAGCGCATCAAACTAGTTTTACGTCAGTCCTATATTATATCATAAGAAAGAAGCCAGCCAAATATGATACAATGGGCATGAATTACATTGAGTATCTTTCAATCATTTAACACAGTTTTTGGTTCGAGCGATTGATATATAAATCTGAAAGATCATCTTGAAACAAACTGCCTATTGAAAGTGCATTTTTCCCCGGCCAGCTAGAGCTTACTCGATGATCTAGCGCTGACCCCGCAACTTGGAACAGGGCGATTTCGTCAGGCAAATGCAATTTTCAATTCCTCCACATAATCTTGACGTTGCATCAGACTTTAGTCAATTTGAGAGTTGGGAACAATGATAAGCAATAGATGTCACCTTTCTATTGTGAATGTCGCATTTCGGGGAGGATTGAAGAAGTGACTGACATGCCTCCATGCCTCCTCGATTTAGCCGACATCCCGCTTCCGCGCACGGTCCCCTGGTGCCCCCTATATGAATGTGTGTATATTGTTAATCTTTCGTTTTGGAAGATTCAGTTCTTTTATGATTAATTAGCTCGTTCTGCGATTTGATATCTTTCTCCTATCTTCGAGTTTGTCAATCTTTTGTAGCTTTTAGGGAATTCTAGTCGGTGAAATCATTGAATTGGAGTATTTTTTTGTACAGACTGCCGTTTTGCTAGATTGCTATGTTATGCTATGCTGTCTTGATATTTCCTACATTTTCAGTACTTGTCAATTTTGGTTTAATCAATTCCCCATTGTTATATTATTCCAGATGGCCCTTGAATGTTTTGCAAGACATCTTGGTAGTCTTTCCTCTGGTGATTCCTACCATCTTCTGATGAGGATAAATCCAGGGATCTTCTCCTCAAGGAAAAGGCTATTCATAGCTATCTTCGTTGGTATTCCACGAGGCAGAGGGTCAATACAGTTCAGGAGCTCTGGTAAGGATAGAGAGAGGTTCGTCTTGACTTGATCGCGCGATGCAGTTCATCTTCATCAATTTGTATACTTTCAAGAAAAAAGAGGCATTAAGAAATTTTCAAGAACCGCCAGGTCGATTGAAGAGGACATCTAGAATAACAAGTAAACTGAATTTACTCTATACTCGCTTTTGGGGAATAATGACATCCTGCTCTAGAAGCTGAGTTCTAGATTAGATTGAGTCGCAAGAGAGGAAGCCATTAGTGTCTTCAAGTCATCGGGCTTCGAGCCTTACAACTGTAGAGTTCTATATCCACTTCCACTGCTTGATCTACCGTACGTACTTCCACGATAGTTTTCTGTGACCCGCAAGCATTATTCTACTGTACTGAGACTCGACAAATCGACGACTAAATAAGCGTCAATATATGACTTAATATATCTCTGAAGTACAAACAGCTAGCCATCTGAGCAGATAATTTACGAGGGGATGATAAGCCCATCTCAGTGGATCACACTCCCCCCTCCTGCCACGTTTGAGCTCCAGCCATGATGCACATATACCTACCATACCACATTCTACTCACTCTTACATTTGCTTCTCCTACTCCCTCGAATGATCACAAGACACGTATCTAACCTCTTAATTCCATCTCCCCAAAATCCTACACAGACACTATATATATCACTCCACTCCACTCCAATCCAACCAGAGAATCACAACATCAAATCCTCTCCGTCGATATCGATCTCTACCTCCCTCCATTTCTTTCCTCTCTCCAATGCGAAAAAACAAGCTCTTGGAAAGAAGAACCCAACCCCATCAACCTCACTGGAGTTTGATAATTTCCGCTCATACATCTCACACTGGACACCTCTAGTTATTAACAATACTATTCTTATTTTGATTTCATTCTCATGCCCTAGAATTACATATCATACCCCATTCAGGACATTTAGTCCTCCTTCCTCTCGCATCTCGCCTTTCTATCCAATGTATCGATATTTTGCTCCGAGGTCCAAAGCGGATCTACTTAATACATAGTAAAAACGAAAGGGTCGAAGCTCCCTATGAAACGAGAATCTTGAAGCAGGAAGGGAAGACAGGCATGGTGTGGTATGTTATTTATTCGGGGTATTTAATAGTCCGGACTGAATTTCAACAATCACACCCTTCAGAGCATTCAACTCCTGCGAAATGGTAAAGTGTTTCGGATGTTAAGATATTTTGAATCTAAAGCAATAGATTTATAGACTTGATGATGACATGTTGGGAATCTCAAAACTAGAACCTTGCAACGAACTGCACTTCGGACTATAGGAAATACTGTATTCATTCATCTTCAATTCGTCTATATAATGCTCAGGTCCCACATGAAATGTTTGAATCTGAACGATTATTCTTGAGCTGTCTAGCGAATCAGATGCGAGTAACACGATACGTAGTCGGCACAGGCATAGGCATAGTGATTGTCGTAAGACGAGCCGTGTTGTGCATCATGTATATGAAGTCTTACGTTCAGCTAGCAACGATAAGCCCTAACTGTAATTATGAATGACACCTCTCACAAACCCAACGTGATCATCGAAAGAAAGCGAAGTGTGAAAGTTCTCGAGGTATATTTCGAATAGGTCTGTCCATCCAACTTGCGTTGTGCGATACTCTACGCATATCTATCTACCTCTAGATAAATATCAATCAAGTACTATCTCCAACAGCAAACCAAGTCAGCTCTCAGCTCCTAGCTCGTATTGTCCTATAACATATCAGCAGAGGTGGTATCACGTGTCTTCCCGTCCTTTTGTGTCACCATCCATGATGTATACTCGATATATGCACTTTCAGTTCATCTCACAAAGCTCAGTCATCTTGTGTTCCCTTGGCTGATCTCACCTTTGATTCCTCGCCACTCTCCCAATGCATGTGATGAGTCTTCGCCTCCCAACCTAATCTCACGATCCCCAAGAACCCGCCTCTATAATGCGCGTGAACACACAAGGAAGATTCCTAGACTGTGGGGGTTACAATGGCAATTTGGGGGTTGTATCTTATACACATGTACTTTAACCATTTACCTTCCCCCATCCTGACCGCTAGATCATGGAAACATAATTTGAAGATGGGGAGACAAAAAAAGCCATAAGCTTATGATATAGAGCGGGTATGACGCGTGAAAGTAAATAAAGTAGGTAAGGAGTGCGTCATAAGTGGTAGACCCGAGAAGCTAAAGATATCCGGGGTAGCACAAGGACAAGTTACCTACAATACAGTCATCCATCTACCTGACTCTGACACTCACTCCTAGCTTCAGTATCCAGTTACACAACGCAGAATCACAAATTGAAGATCGCAAGTGACTCAAGCGACCATCACACTCAAATCATGACTTAAACTGTGGAAAAACATGTATCAGTCATGTGTCATGACATGACATGCTCTCTCATCGTCTCAATCCACTCACCACTCACCACTCAACACAACACAACACACTCCCGAGACTTCTATCACAAATATCAAAATCGAGAATTCCGAGAACTTTCCGGCTCCAGATCATACTAGTGAATATATTCACGACCGAAAAGAGAAAATCAAAATGATGAAAATAAATAAATGGAGTCATCCATCTGAACCCGCGACGACGTGGCGTAGTTTATCCATCCATTTTAACCACGTCTTTAACCACGTCCTTTGCCCATAGGGCTTTACTTACTTGCTTGGTTACTTGCAGATACCGGTATTCACCTATCCTATCCCATTCTATTCTATCCCATCCAATATCCGACCGGCGAATCCGACAATTCCGATCATCAGTCAATCGTTTGACACCGTACAGTGCCCATCATATTATCTGTGACCTGTCGGACTGACTTTGCAAACCCACTTACATAACTTTGAGTAGGGCGATTCGTTCGATACACACATGTGGAAGTCGATCTTTCATATCATGTAACTGGAATATAGAATTTCTTACATTTTACATTCTATCCGTTTCCAATTTTTGGATTAGAACCAGTAGATAGACGCCAGATTCCAATGTTTATCCATTCGCTTGTCGAGTCGCATCGTAACAGGCTGCCTCGGAGCCTCTCTAGTACATACATACATACATACATATACACATAGTCTCGATAGTCTAGAAGACCATACCAAAAGACACATATACACACATGCATACCCAAATCCACCTTTTTGTGTATCAAAGTGGAGAGAATAGTCTACCTACATACATATCGATAGTGTCTACCGGCGAAGACGGATACATATGTATAAGTGATATTCTGTCTATCTGCAGTCACGAATTAGCACACTATGAATTCCAGACGAGTCGATGTCTTTGAGATTAGGTTGACGATTTGATACGAGTGGATGTATGTTTATATATTTACATATCGACGAATTGAATAGAGTAGTGAAGGTTACCAATTACATGGAACGCAATGGGTGAGCGTGGAGCTGGTGAAGAGAATTCCGAAATCTCGATTCTTCTCCTACCTAGTACCTACAATATAGGTACCTCCTGTGACGACTTCAACCGTTCGCGACTTTTGTACGGAGAAGAGTCTAGGAGGGTTACATCCGGGTATCACAGGAGTAGGTACAGATCTATACCGTTTACCATGACGATACATCATCGTACAATTTAGTCCTTTACTTACAATGTACACTTATCGATTGATCTAGTATTCGCAGATGATAATATCCAATCCAATCCAATCAAACCAAACATCTACCACCAATCCCATAATCTTCTTCGTCCTATCCTAGAATACACATCGTATTCTTGCCACTCCGATGTAGCTAAATATGTAAGTATCATGCCCCTCACCTCACTGGATGTACCCTTTCCGCTCCCGATGTACAGAGCACGATGTACGATATATTCAGATTTTCACCCAGGCCTCGCAAATCATAGCATCATGGAATCCCAGATCATGACGGAGACGGCACAGGCACGCGAAGGGTAGAGGGGATCCATTATCAGGCTTCAATTTTTGCTTCTTCGGGTTTTCATGTATTCATTACCCCGCCAATGCATATGCCTACATATTCTGGCGTGAGTGGGGGGTGGGGGATTGGGAGAGGAGAGCGTGGATGAGATGGGATGGGATGGGATGAGATGGGATGGGAGGGGTAATGAAGTATATTTCCAACTTTATCATGATGATTTGTGAGAAACAAATGGGATTCTTTCCCGGTGTCGAAGTAGAGGGGAAAGATTCTTTGAGGTTCTATCGGTAATCATAAATCCTATCCATCCCGTTCGTTATACATCATCCTTAGGCGATTGAGAAGATAGATGATCCATAGACCCTTTGTTCGCTGTCTGTACTCTGTAGATCCAATCCCCAAGTATCAAGATTTAGCACTCGGGGTTTCTAATCATGACGATGAAAAATTAATCTTCCTAATCTCCATTTCTAAAATTGAATAAAAAAGTATCTAGACTCCCACTCCTCACTCCTCACTCTCGAATTCACAATCGAGTGGGAAAAAAAACCTTTCCAAACTCCTGACCTGCTCCGTATAGGTATCACACATGCCTGGTTTCGAGCGAATCCAAACTTCCGAAGCCTCACATTGGATGCTTGGGGCTTGGCTGTGCGGAAGCTAGAGAAAGGTTAAGCGTGGATGATCTTTTGTTCCCGAGGAGTTTGGATAGAGGGATGCTTATATTTGATTGGATTGGATTGGATTGGATTAGATTAGATTCTTGGGATCGTATAATATCGCATCGCCGGATGGAAATGAAGGGAATGCATAGAAGAGAACCATCGGAAGAATATGGATACAAGGCAGAATAGAAGGATGAATGGAAGCCCTCGGGTATCGGAGAAATCAATGACACTGTACAATATTTTATACATGAGAAATTTTCCGATATACCCGATCGAAAATAGTCTCTATGCGGACATCAATAGCGTAGCCAGTCTCACAACTGTATAGTCAGAAATACATACCTCCTCCTACTGCTACATTATCCAATCTTCGTTTTGATGTCTCCAATTGTTGAATTCCATTCCATCGACTCAATGTTTATTTAGTTTTCAGCAAAACGAGCCGCATTTACCCATCTACTCGTCTACCGTAAAAACTCAACAAACTCGGAATCTACTCAACCACATTAAGCCTAACATATTGCCGATTACCCCAGTCGGACAAATTTAAATCCAATATTTTTTACTTTTATTAATCAATTATGTACTTAAAGTAGATGAATAATTCAATAACGTGGTTTATAAGTACATATATTATATCAGTATATGTATCACTTCAAAATACATCAAAATTAGTCTTTTATTAACATTCTTATTTAAATCATTAATCATTATTTTTTCTCTGAAAAAGTTTCCCTATAAATAATAAAAATGAAATATTTATAAAATTTGATCTTTTTATAGATATCTCAATTGTAACTTAAGAATATCATACTTTACATTACAAAAATCTATTTCTTTAAATAACTTTATTATTATTATAAGATTTTACTATTTTAATTCATTTTTATATTATTTATATAGATAAATATAATATATATAAGAAAAAATTAAATTATACCAATAAATAAAGAAAATGCATGATTATGCACAGCCGTTTTTTATATATAAAAATAATAATATATGTACTAATATAAGGCATGTACTAATAAACCACGTTATCGATTCTTAATAAATATAATTAAAAAAGCCTTATTATTTCCATCATCAAGTAGTAATATATTTTCAAATTCTAGAGCATAATAATGATTCTTGATATAATAATAATTTATTAAAGATTCTCGAAATTATCTTTCCTATTTTATTAGTTTGTGGGGTGAGGCTCTGAAAGTACGCTCACTGCGATTAAGTAGATTCCAAGTTTGTTGAGTTTTTTACGGTACCGGTATTCACCCACCCATTCATAACAAATTACTAATCAAGATTATTTTCATTCCCTCTCGAATCCCTTCCTCACTCCAATCTTCAAAATACCCAGGTAAATCCAATCGCTTCCCCAATCAACAACATGGCACATATCGAAATCTTCCCATTCACACTTTCACACATTCCCTACCCTTGATATCTGATATCTAGGTCCTCCCTCCACCCAGCACATAAAAATAACACCAAAAATAGACATGGTCACTGGTCACTCACCTGGCCTGGCCTGTGAAGCATACCTCGTTTCCTCCACGGACCTCCCCTCCTCCTCCCTGACTTTACACATTACGTGACATAATATGGTACTCCATAGTCCATACCATCCAAAGCAACTGCAGCAGTGTGCACGCGCAAGAAGCTTTTCGATTCTCGATGCAAATTTGATTCTGACCCTCTGCTCTGATTGTCCTAACCCTGTACCTATCTGGTCCGGAATTGCCAGGTTCCGTGTCTGTAACTCGAGTCTGCTCATACATACAAATCATCTCCCATACAAGAATCATCCCTTCTCCCCTCGGTGTTCTCAGAGATTCAAATGAAACTAAAAATCCAGGGTCTTTTTTCATCTCGAGTCGCTAAGCGAACCAATCTTATGGTACTCAGGTCAGGTACTTGACATTCAAGATCAGGTTAGATTGATTACACCTCATCAAGAATGAACAAATGAAAGAAAGAATCCAGAACCCAGGAAGGAAGTAGAGCCACCCAAACAATAATAAAAAAATCGAATAATTTCCGACCTGACGCGGATATTTCGAGATTTAAGGATTGGAGTTTAGAGTTTGAAGTTTGATACTCGATCGTGGCGCTAGTTGAAACTGTTTTTTTTTCTTTCAATTATTATTAGGAGGCTGTGAGTAGGTAGTAGATGTAGTAAGTGGTAGCGATTATAGATTGGATTGATTTAAACATATTAGTTTTAATTATTTATCATTTATTTACCTAGTAAGTACTATAAGTATATATCGATAATATCAAGTATGACTGTGTGAGGCTGTTTGAATTCGAATTCGAATTTGAGGGCCGAGGGTCTTTTGATGACTACCTAGTTCCTATACTGGACTGGATACTGTATAATGATATCCTAAATATCACATAGAAGATAATTTCATAGATCAATGAGCATTTGATTGCTCGTAGAGAGATTGTAATTTATAGATAGATACATGATACCTACTCCGTAAATAGATAGCTATAAATACATATTTCCACCCCTCCTCTAGATCCATCCCCAAATCGAATCAATTCAATTCATCCCATATACTACTCACCTACAACCAACTCACCATCCCTCATCATCCCTCATCATCCCACAACCCCCAAAACAGACAATTCATCCCCCGATTCATCCATCAATCCCGTCACTTTCCGCATGTAACATCATAACATCATAACAATGTGACTTTTAACTTCTCACTTCCCTTCCAGCTTCACACATGTGAGGAAGCGCTTTCAAAGATAGATACTGTAGATAGGTATTATGGATAGAAACCCACTGACTGTTCGGTTCCCGGATTATATTTCCATGCATAACCTCGGGGGTAGGTACGTAGGTAGGTACGTAGGTAGGTAAAATTCCATACCCACCTATCCTCCATCACAAATTCCCGGCGGGCGGTTGATTGAAACTTGGGTGATGGATAATCGGAGTATTTTTCTTCTTCTGCTTCTTTCTTTCGATTAATTGCAAGCTTGTAACGGGATTTAATTTTTGGGTAGGGTATATGTGGTATAGTATGGGACCTGTCATTAGTACGTATTCGTAGGAGATAATAGATTAGATTCCATCGTACACATTTCCTGATACTGGTACATACTGATCGATACCGATTTCCATTTATCGTATATGCGTCAAAAACGTGTACTCTGTATAGTCACAGATATGTAGATAATTTCGTATTCGATATATCGTACATACATTGTACTCACTCACTCACTCACTTACCAACCATCTCCATGGATGAAGGTCAATTTCTCCGTAAATATGTATACTGTACTGTACTGTACTGTATAGCTAGCAGATAGACCTAGATATATGTAGGTATCTATATACACACAATATAGATTCAGATCCAGATCTAATGCAGATACAAAGTGGCAAGGAGGCAGGACAACTTAGAGATGTACATACATAGACAGGTACTTACATACATACATACATTTGCATTTAGCATCCGACATCAGAATCCAGAACCACATCCAAAATCTACACTTCGTACTCTATCAGCCAGTGGATCGCTCCCCCATCAACAAATCCCAACTAGAGTACAGCACTTCAAACACGTTTCGAAGCTCTCTCGAAAAGTCAAGGGTCCGATACCCAATGTAATCACTCAGTCATAGGAACATCACAAATTTCCATACTCCGTTCGAGTCCGGAAAAAGAATTTTATCACTTATCGACGTTATCCGCTGGTGATTATATAATGTGTGATTTTTGATCGGGAGTTCTATTGTCGATGCTTGATTGGTTGGGAGCGGTAGACAGAAAATAGGTAAATATACATACCGAGGTACGAGTACAGGGGAGGATTATTTTCTCCGATATTGTATCATACGGAGTAGTGTTTGAACTTTAATAAAGAGAAGAAAAAAAAAAAAAAAAAATGAATATAAAAGCATGACCACACACATACACATACACACACATCAAATCTGGAATAATAAATCATACCTGTATTTACCTAGTTAGACACGTGAATTTCCACCATTTGGCAGTCAGTCAGTACCTAGCGACTCTACGAATTGAAGGATTTTATGTTTCGCAACTGCAACGCAAAAGCGCAAGCAAAACTAAAGCTAAAGCTAAAGCTAACTCAATATCAAGTTCATGCTACTGCCATGCCATGCCCTGCCATGCAAGCCCTGCGCTGCGCTGCGCTCCCCAATGTGAATTTGTGCATGTTGAGAGCTCGAGACGTGAGTGAGGCGTGAGTACAGTATCAGTAGCGTACTCCAAATGTGAATATCGTATGCGTTAAAATATGACCAAAAACACAATGGATCGAGAGAGTTGAG